TCACAGTTCTGTGTTCTGTTTGTTCGCTGGTATTTGTAACTGTAAGTTTTAATCATTTCCTTAATACCTGATAGCTAATTCTCACAGCTTGTGTATTACATACAAGCACACGTGTCTTAATGTTCATGTTAATCTAAGCATCTGCATTTCACTTTCTAAACAGCCAGTTTGCCTTAGCTAATGAGGGGGAGGACATCTGCTCTGCTGCTCCTCTTCCTCTGCTCCAACCCTTCCCATATACCTCCCTTCCCCCAGCCGCATACCCTTGATATCATTAAAGAACCCTTGCTTATTATTCATCACCAAGATTTCTCAAGCACAGAAACTTATCTATAAGTTTTAGGTGTACAAGAATAATAGCCATGATTTTGAGGAAAGGAGAGGGACCCTAGCCAGATGGTGTGGTCTGTGCTGAGGGTAAAGAGCAGGTGTTAAGAAAATTCTGAATCCTGGGTCAGGGAATCCTCAACGCAAAGTAAATGAGGGAAAGAAATCAGTGAAGCCCTTAGAACATATGGGGATCCAGATCTTTGAAGTGAAACTAAAAAGAATTTGGGAACCCCAAATTCTGACACTCTGCCCAAAAAAGTATAGAATTGACCTTGAGAAGCTGCTACAAGCTGCCAGGGTAGTTCTGGCTCTGAAACGGACACTACTACACAGTAGAATTAGATGTTTTATTTCATCAGATGCAGTTTCACTTGTACACAGGAGATTAGCAAATATTTAGACCCTTAACTAGGGTGGGAACAGAGCAGAATAAAATTGCCTCATAACAACAGAGGTATAGCTGTTACGAGGTTGTGTGTGTATGTGTATTCATGAATGTGAATTTACAGTTGCATCCTAGATTATAATTCAGTCTGGAAGCAAGCACATCACCTGAACAGGGAAATAGTAGAGTGTGAATCACATCTTTAAGAGTGGCATTGTGCTTTTTTATCCTAACAGAGTTGATAAAGAGGATTAGTCTTTGGAAGTTTTCACCCAACAATGTGGCTTAATATAGAGATCTTCAGCTGGGTGTCAGTGAGGTTTAAGCTTGGTGGATATACACTTGTAGCTGTAAAATAATTTCTCTTATTGAAATGCCCCTAGGAAAATAAGTTCATTGCGTGTTTGAAACTTTCCCTAAATGTTTTAGCTGCTAACAGTGGTTTTGAAAACTAGGTATCTTTATTTGTGTTTTTGTTTTTAATTAGGGCCTCTTCCCTCAGGTTATAACAGACAGAGGGTATCATATTGCTGTGACCTCTTTCTGCTCTCTTTCATATGCTTGCTGTGTGTGACATTTTCAGAGTCCTTCACTCCTGTCTGAGCATGTGGGGAAGGAAGATAAAGTGCGTGCATTTGGAAAGTGCATGCACTTTGTCCAGGCAGTTAGAAACTGCTGGAAAGAATCTGTAGGGAGTTAGACAGAACAAGGTGGAAGAACCTTGGAGCAAATCTTTCTTAGCTTTCAAGGGCTGCCTACAGAACCAGTTTCTTAAATTGGTGCTTTTCTCCAGGTGGAACCAGGACTTATGGGGGCCTGTGAGGTTAGCCAAGCAGAGCTGAGGAGGTGTCCTTGCTTCCCTCCCTCTCCTGTGCTGTCAGCATTTTTGTTTGGCTTTTCTCTACGGATTCCTCCTTACCAGAATCCTGCCATCTCTAGAAATGTCTTCTTTTATAAAACAAACATGATAGCCCCAGACATATTGAATGCTTTTGGCCGGGTGAGGTGGGGGGGGATGAGGTAGATGTGTGTATATGTTATTTCCTTCTTTGCAAATAGGAAAAGAAAACAAAAGATCTGCCTACAAAGGCTGCCCCTTATCATTCTTAGTTCTTCCTCCCCCCTTGTTCTCTTCTGCCACCACCTTTGCACATGGTGTCCCTTGGCCTTGAATTTACTTTCTGCTTCTAGATGTTGCTTATTCTTTCACTCTCAATTTAAGCATCCCTTGTTCAAAAAAGCTTTCTCAGCTCCCTAACTGATTCAGGTATTTCTTCTATTAGGCTTTCACAAAGTTGTCTCCATTTAGAGCCCCCCACAGATCTCCTTTCCCATTGACTGACTGTGCAGTCAGGAGCAAATTGTTTCTCCTCTCTGATATCTCACCCAAGGGGTGCCTAGTCTTCTAGTCTTGTCCAGAGGAAGAATGTGCTTTAGAATTGCACATATTCATGAAAATACTACCAGTTCTAATAATCCTAATAAATTAACTAGTAACTATTGTAAGAAAAGAAACACATTGCCCCTTCACAAGGTTGTCTTCGTCAGCAGTGAGTTCTTTAATGTAAAGTTCTATAGACTAATGGAGATTCTCCTTATATTACTTGAACCTTCAAGTTGCCTTCCTGTATGTTGATGGTATTTTATTAAGCCCAATGTTGTTAACATCAAGCAACTTAGATTTGAAAGCAGGCAAGAATTTAAGTAGTTGTTTTATTTAGAGAAAAAAAGTAAAACTTAGTTCTAAATACTACTTAAACTAGTAAATCTCAGGATTTTAGACACTTTCTATACATACATAAATTTGTATATGTAGACGTTCACAAGATAAAGTATAGTTCTTACTGTGATTTATATATAAAAATTTAAAAGTCACTGGTTTAAGCTAAACTATGTGGCATAAGCTATGTGATTAAGGCTCAATTATGTAGTCATAACTAATTTGAGATCAGACTTTAGCAGGAAATGCATTATAGTATGAAGCAAATTCAGGTAAATTCAGAATTTTTTTTTTTTTTGGCAGCATTGGAGATTGAAGTATTCAGAATTATTAACTCTTCTATAATGGAAGAGTTCTTGAAAAAGAATATACCTTTTTTCTCCCCAATTTTCTCTTCATTTTACTATGGATATTATAACAGAGAAAGTTGTGTTCCTTACAAAAGACCAGAAAACTTGAATAACCAGTCTCCCTTTACTTTGTTTAACTCACTGTGTTTTTGTACTATGAACTGTGGTCATCAATGACAAACACTTTGATTCTGAAAAAAAAAATCATGTTGATGATGTTCAGTATCCAATTTAGAGAATTCAAACTTTTTGAAAATTGGTAACATACATACGGTAAGGGTGATGAAGTTTAGTTAATGCTGGGCTGCTTTATATACTTTTGAGAGTATGCCTGTGATGGTCTGACTTAAAAATAAACACGCATTTTCCCAAGCAGCCTGGTGGACCAGTGGGTTTTGAATATGCCCTCAGTTGTGGTAAGAGGATGTGGTCATTTTCCTCTGGAAAAAAGGAAGGGCTTCATTTAAACTTCAGAGCTTATCAGGCTGATCTTTCAAGTAACAAATTATAATGTGGTTTTTGTTGGTAGTGATAAACAAAACTTGGTAAAATTACAAAAGGGAGCTGTTGAAAAAGATCTTGATTTGTCCATCTTTTTATATTTCATAAAGCATTAATAAGATACTTTAATGAGGAAAAAAACAGAAACAAATCTTAGTCTTATGTTTCTATCCAAAGAAACATATGGAATCACTGTCCATTCCTTCTAACTGCAACTTTATTTGTGACCATGTAATAAAGGCTAGTTTTAAGGTTTTGTTTTTTTTTTTAAGTTTAAACCTTTTAAAAAAGATTAAAAAATCAGCTAGCAAAAAGATACCCAATACATACTTTACTTATATGAAACAAACTAATATTTCAGTGCAATGTAACTATACAAAATATATACAATGCACATTTGTTCACAAAGTAAACACTATAGGCTCAGATTTGAAAAAACATTCACATTGATTACAATTATATATATATATGTATATATATGTATATATATATATAGTCCCTGTAAAATACTAATAGCCAGATACTAGTATATAAAATGTGAAGTTCTGACACTACATACATTTTTAGGAAATAAAACCAAACAAAATCCAAGATCACTTTTGTTATTGTCAAAAGCAAATATGCCAGGTAGTTTAGCTATGACCACTGTCACCAAGTAAAGCCATACTTGACTGAGATGAAGACTAGTACAAAGCTGGTGAATAGGGACTGGCATAGCTGAAGAGTTGCGCTGGTTCTAGGAGTGGGGTAGAGGACATAAAAACATCCACCTATGTAATTTAATTCACATTTTCTCCCCAGCATTACCCTGTTGAGGGTTTCACAAGATGCCACTACACCCAAAAAATCGTAATGCTATAGCCGACAGGGCAAAAAGCTTCCCTAGACTTCTTTGCTGCTGCACTATATGCAAATATTAAAGCATGCATCAGCTACACAAAGCATTGATTTACTACTCCAGTCACTAGCTGGTGACTAATTTGTCACAGTCACTGATGTGACATTTAAAATATGGAATAATCCGCTCACTGATGGTTTGCTGATATGCTGATGCAAAACTAGTTCATCTTTTTTATTGTAAGTAATTGGGTAGAAGAGCTTACATTGTTTTGTGTCCTTCCTGTCTTTACCCCACCCCTTCTGCTTATCAGGCCACGTCTCAACAAGTTACCAAAGATCCTTGTTACTGTTTAATATAATAAAGAAAAAAGAATGGTTTACTTTAATAAAGGCCTCAACCCAGGGTGTGAGCTCTCAGGCTTGGAGTCAGAAAGACCTGCATGTTCATCTCTTCTCTACCATTTATCGGCACTTTAAACTTAAGCAAGTTCTAAACTCTGTCTGGGTTTCAGTTCAGTCATCTCTAAAATGGAGAATAGTATTATTTACTTTAGAAGAATTTTATGAGGTTGTCTCAGATTTTAATGAGATAATGAGTAACATACTGGCATTCAAGAAATGTTTGTAGTTGCTGTTATTATATTTACCATAATATAAAAAATAATATTTTAATTGTAATTCCTAAAATCTTGAGTACATTTTTTGTTTGCTACAGAATATGTCATTTAGGTTCAGGATTGCTTTCTAAGCTCTGCTCTCTGACTGCTCCCCAATCTGAATGTATCCAGGGCAGGTAATAACCAAATACATAAATTCATGACTTTTTGTGACTTATAGTATTTGTAGTCTTCCATGCAGTTGTATTTTGATGCTGTCCTTTCCATGATAAAAAGAAATGAGGATATAAAATATGTTATGTATGTACTTGGAGATGCCATTTATATGCCTGGGTGTCATCATTGGCTAAACAATGTGATACTCTAAAAGATTTGTTTGAAAGTTATATCAACAGGGGTGTTAAGTGGAATTAAAAGTGCAATTTATTGAATTTTTTAGATTTTTAAAATACATAATAATAGATCCGCGTTGTATTTCTTTTAACAGATGGGCTTAGGTCATGAGCAAGGATTTGGAGCCCCCTGTTTAAAATGCAAAGAAAAATGTGAAGGATTTGAACTGCACTTCTGGAGGTAATGTGTTTTAAAAACTTACGCCCTTTGGCAGTAATTCCTCAGATAGCGCTGATCTTTTACATGTTCTCAAGCATAGTTGCTAAGTTGCAGGTCTGTTATTTTCTAGGAAATGAATAAAGAGTAAAGCTGTTCAGTCTTCCTATCATTAAGTTTGACTGAGTGGGTTGGGCTGTAACAACTATATTTAGGATTTCTTGTTTTATTTTCTTCCTTTCAGATTTCCTATGAACCTAAACTACTAAATATGCATTTTTTGAGTGGCAAATTAGTTTGTGGTAATGAATTTGTGGATTGTTTATTAATGTAATGATGATTCATGTTTTTCTTGAAAAATTATTTTTTTTTAACATTTCGGTTTTCAGAGTCAGATGCTACTTGATTATAAATAAAGATCTAGTTATAAGAATAATAATTTAATCACAATTTTAGCTTCCGTAAATAATGTAATGGTAATTCGTAACAGTTGCTCACTTCTCACATCTCATCTGTATTTGCGCTAAATTATAAATATGAATGCTTAATTGAACATTCATATCCTAATTGTCAGAAAGTAGTAAATTTTTTACTGAAAAACTTTTGATCACTCCAGGTTTTTTTGTCAAGAAAAAAATCATTTTTTGCCAATGTATTGGTTTGAATAAAGTACATGTATCTGCAAGGTAAGTGGTAGTGGATCAAAAGTGAATTTTGACTAGATCTTGTTTATATTTCTTATGTATCATGTCCATCTAAATCCAGTATTTGAAACCTGTCTTTATGAAAAACATATTTGTTCTTAATAGTTGTTAAGATCATCATGATAGGTAGTTCAAAGTTAGAATTGGCATATTATTGTTAGAAGAAAAAATTGATCAATTATACAATAGTAGGATGGTAGCTGCCTTGTAATAAGGAACGTCACTTAACAGCTACTTCTGTGTTATAGATTTCCATAGGAAATTCTACAATAAATAATTCCATCAGCCATTTTGGCTGTCAATAATATTAGTTAAAGGAGGATATAAGAATAAAATCTAGGTGGTGGTGTGGCTCAAGTGGTAGAGTGCCTGCCTAGCAATTGTGAGGTCCTGAGTTCAAGCCCAATACCACCAAAAAAATAAAGGAATAAAATCTAGTATATTAGTCTCCTTTAAAAGCTAGTGTATTTAATAAATCTTAAGAAATGTAAAATCACTTAAAAAAGTGATAGCTATAGAAAATCCAGTCCTGCCAGAAATGATGATATAATTCTTTACTTTTAGAAGACTTAGAATTTTCTAGGGAGTTTTCTAAATTCTGGACTTAAATAGCTCTTCCTTTTCAAGGCACATAGCAGCTGGTCCATATGCCTGTCAGGTTCAAACATGTAATAGGTTTCATGGATTAGAATACAGTTATTCCTTACTGTCTAATCCCTGCAGATGTCAAAATCCACAGATGCTCAAGTCTCTTACAAAATAGTAGTATTTGCATATAGTCTACCCCTATACTTCTTTAGATTGGTATAATACCTGATACAATGTAAATAAATGATATGTTAAATAGTTGTTGTTATGGTGTACTGTTAGAGAAGAATGACAATTTTTTTAAGGTCTGTACATGCTCAGTACAGATTAAGCTTTTTGAGAAAGTATCTTCCATCTGCTGTTGATTGAATGCAGAACCCAAGGACACTCTACCTCTAAGCACCCCTTCCTCTTGTGCCTACCAGTTGACTTTGCGGAGGACTGCAGCGCCCTCTGCTGGGAATAGTTTTTACTTTGCAATCTTAATATAATCTTTTTAGCTCAACTATGCAAAAACTGCTAATGAGATTTTTTAAGTCTATTCAAAGATAGTTACCTTTTCTCTAAAGCAGATCAGTTTATAGGAAGCTTTTGTTTATTCTCTATTACTTTCCTCTTGCAGACAGTGTTTTCAGATTAAAAAATAGGCAGTAGCAGAGCTCCATGACGTGAACAGCACTTTTTAATTTTAGTTTTTATCACACAGACTCATTTAAAAAACTGGGTATAGTCTGAGAGTCTGAGCACCATAAAAACTAAGGCTTTGGCCTCGATCCTAGCAACCATTGATATAGTCCATCCAGATGGTATTTCTTAGTTATTCTGTCATCTTCCTGGCAGGAGTCCAGACACATTTCTCTGTTAGTTAGAATTCTTGATCCTTCCCTACCTTTTTCACTGTGACTGAAAGACCAAAGGCTGTTGCCTATGACTCCCCAGATTCATCCATTTTTCAGTTCAGTCTTTGAAGCAAAACATTCTAGACTAATTGTCTAACGAATATTGTGTAATGAAATGTGTAAGGAATATTATAGCTGTACTCTAGGGCTACAGGGGTCCCCGCTGCCTTCTTAGCCTCCTCCTTCAGCTTCCTGGTGAACCTTCTAGGACTCTTAGAGCTTTACAGACACATTTAAAAACTCAGAGTTAAGCCAGGTGCCTACGGCTCACTCCTAGCTACTCAGGAGGCAGAAATCATGAGGATCGCAGTTCAAAGCCAGCCAGGAAAAATAGTTCACAAGACCCTATCTCGAAAAAAACCCATCACAAAAAAGTGACTAGTGGAGTGGCCCTGAGTTCAAACCCTAGTATCCCTCCCCCGCCAAAAAAAATACCTCAGAGTTAAATTATTCTCTACCTCTTTACCAGTTTGCCTTCCACATAACAATAAGAATGATATGTTGAGAATGGGGAAATGAGTACTATTACATACTTCCTGATAGCTTAAAAACCCTCAGTTCCCACTAGACTTACTCCTTCAGGTAAACTCTTTAGCCTTTGATGGCAGACCTCAACATTTGGCCTCTGCTTGTTTTTTCAGCCTCTCTTACTTCCTTTCCAAAGCATCATGTGCTCCAACCGCTTGATCCGTGCTATTCTCTAAAATTCTCTGAATTTCTTATTACATATATCCTTGATTAGAAAGACCTTACCTCCAACAAACCAAGCACTACCTCCTGTATTACTCTGCTCAGGCTGCCATGATGACTTCAACACAAATTTATTTTCCCACACTTCTGGGTATTGGAAAGTCCAAGATTAGGTGACAGCATGGCTAGGTTCTGGTGAGGGTCCTCTTTTTGGAATGTAGAAACAGCTGCTTTCTTGTGTGTTCTCAGATTGCTTTCTTCAGTACGTTTGTGCATTTATGTAAAAGAGAGAGAAAAAGAGAGATGCCTGGGGGTTGGGGAGAAGAGATCATCCTCTTCTTATAAGGCCACCAGTCCTATCAGATTAAGACCCTTTTCTTATTACTTTGTTAAGCCTTAATACCTTCTAAAAGCCTTAGGTCCAAATATAGTCACATTAGGAATTAGGACTTTAGCATATGAATTTGAGGAAGATACATCTTAATCTATAACACCTGCTTCTACACATTCCCAATTTAGAGATTATTTTCCCTTTTGCATGCATGCTGTATACTTGTAGGAAGTCAGGAAATAAATACATAGATTTCACTCTTCATTGTTTTGACCCCTAGCTTGTACCTGTGGGAGCGAGGGAATTCACTGATGTGAGCAGCCTCCTAGGGCCTAGCTCAAAGCACTGAAGGGTGAAGAATAGCTCCAGAAAGGTAAAAAGAAGACACCAGTTGAGAGTGTATCATGAATAGTTGAGGAAAGCTAAAAATGAATTCTTAAAATTATGGAAGTTTGGAGTAGAATTTGTAACCCCTTTAGACAAACCTCATTTTATAGATCAAAGAACTAAAACCCAAAAAAAGTTAAAATGACTTACTTATGCCCATGAGTTATTAATAGAAATACAATTTATGAACAATTTCTGTGTATCATATATGAGTAAGCACTTACAGTTTTTGCTGCATAACAAACTACTATAAACCTAGTTGGTTAAAACACCTAATTAACTCAGTATGCATTTATTCTTTAGGTTAGAAGTCTGGCTGAGAAGGAAGGGAATGCTTAGATGACTTCTCTGCCACTCAAAAAGGAAATCAAGCTGGAGACATGACTCAAGTGGTAGTGAGCTTGCTTTGCAAGTGTGAGGCCTTGAATTCAACCATACTAACACACACACACACACACACACACACA